CCACACATAACTCATCTCCCTCTAGTCTTTTTGTGAAGACTCGCATTCTAAATAATTGGGACAGAGGAATGATAGATCATGCACAAAGCAGGGAATTCACATGCAAACACTCAAGAATTTACTATGTCAATCATCTCTAAAATGTGAGGTCGAAATCCATTTATTTTTCACATCCTTTAGCCTATCTAGCCATTTTATTTCCAGAGATCTGTAGGGTGAAATGTTGGCTTACTCTCTGCCCAAGGTCAGCGATTCGAGACGAGGAGCTGTTCCGAGAGAAAGATGAGGCTGTCTGCTTCCGTGAAGATTTATCGTCTCAGAAACCCTACGAAGCAGCTCGACTCTGTCCCATCAAATCCCAGCTGATAAGAAATGATAGAATCTATCTATACTTCTCACAGAGCTCCTTACAATATAGCATTAAAAAGAAATAAAGCATGCTGCAAAGCTTAGCATAACTACAATCTTGCTTAGGTAAACTGAGAAACAAAAATATAGACATGTATGCACATATACACATGTGATAGCTAGATTTTGTGTCATCTTGGCTGGGCAAGGGTTCTCAGTAGTCTGGCAATTGAGGCCGTGCCCATGACATGATCTAACAAACTGTAATCAACTCCATAATGGAATCAGCTGTGAGCAGCCAAGCAGTCATAGGAAGGTTAAGAGTAGAGTATGCAATTTAAAGGAAGTCTCCCTGTGTGGGGCTTACTCCTGTTTAATAGTCTCGGTGAGAAGGCTTGGCTCTTTTTTGCTGGTCCAGATCCTGCATCTGGCTCATTGACTCATTACCTGTTGAACATGGGAGCTATCAGTGCCCTGCCTTGTTGCCTGGTAACCTTGGATTCATTTGACTCTGTAGCCATGAGTTTGACTTGCTGGCATTACAGTCCTCTGTCTCAGCCTCCACCGGCATGTGATCTTCCTGCTTCATGGTTTGTCAGCCCCAGTGGCTACGTGAGTAAGAAAAGCTTCTAGCTTAACATGTGACTGAACTAAACCAGTTCTACAACTGTGTGAGCTACTTTTAAAATATAGGATCATATATACATATGCATGCATATGTATCTATACATACATACAATTGGTTTTTTCCCTCTGAGAATCTAACCTAGCATAACACATTTAGATTTTTGCATGTATAGAAGGAGCCCTGTTGATGCAGTGGGTTATGCCTTGAGCTGCTAACTGAAAAGTCAGCAGTTCAAACCCACCAACTGCTCCACAGGAGAAAGATGAGGCTGGCTGTTTCTATAAAGATTTAGGGCCACTGTGAGTCAGAATTTACTCTACAACAGTGGGTTTCGTTTTGTGGTTTGATGTACATGTATACAGTGTCACAGTGGTTACCCTCTCATTATTAGCCTAAAGGTCAGTAGTCAACCCACCAGCAGTTCTGCAATGTGTACAGATTGCAGTGTCAAAATACTATGGGTGGGCCGGCTCCAGTCAGAGCCAAATTGATCCCCTCCCCAGAAGTAGGTGCTACAGAGGACAACACTAAACCTACAGGCTAGGGAGGGAGGCCAGCCTGCCATCCCCATATGGAGGCAAACCAAGAAGGAAAAAGAGAGAGTGAGGGTCTAGACCCCATATCAGCACACCAAGCCCTGAGGATGACATCCCTGCACAGAGCTACTAAGGCTCAGAGAGGGCTGTAGGGCCAACAACAGCTCAAGGCATAACATCCCCTCACGGGAGCATACCACGACAGAGGACAATACTGGGGACACACTTTGGGGAGTGAGTCTGGCCTGAACCCCCCACAGTGGGGAGAACCAAGAAGGGAACAGAACAGAGCAGCCACGGGAGCAAAGCCAAGCCACAAAGACCCTGGGGAGTCTCCAAAATAGACTTCAGGCTAGGAGGGACAGTTCCGGGAACCCTCCCAGGACCAATGGGGAGATAGTCATAAAGGTCAGCAGACAGAACCTGGAATTATGTATGCTTTTTCAGGGTTTTTTGCTGGCTTTTCCCCCCTCTCTTTTTATTCAATCTTTTGTTTTCTTTTTGTATTGTCTGCATTATTGTTGGTTTGCTTACCCATATGAGATAGGCATGAGAAGCAAGCCTGAGGATTAAGCAACAGGACTGACAGTTCCAGAGGGACTTGGGGAGGGGGGTGGGAAGGGAGTGGTGAGCAAACAGCGCCACAGACAAGGGAACAACTAGGGTTTTCAAATCAATGATGACGACAAGGACATAGAGATCCTGGGGCACTGGATCAACAGCAATCTAGCTGAGAGAAATTACGAAGAGGCAAAAGATGGGCGAGCATGATGGTGGAGCAGAAAGAAGGTAAAAGGAAACAGGAAAGATCTAGGAAGCAAAGCTATGGACAGAGGTATAAACATAGGTGTGCACATATGTAAATATATTAATTCACAAAAATAGAGGTATTGGCTTGTGTACATATATTTATATGGCAATACTTGAGGTCATGGACGAACTTTGGGCCTCTATTCAAGCCCTCCCTCAACACAGGAACACTTGTTCTAACAACCTGGCATTCTGTGATGCTCACCCTCCAGGAATGATCACTGAAGACAAATGGGTACACAAGCAAATGTGGTGAAGAAAGCTGATGGTGCCCAGCCATCAAAAGATATGGTGTCTGGGGTCTTAAAGGCTTGAAGATAAACAAGTGGCCATCTACAGAGAAGCAACAAGTCCACATGGAAGAAGCACGGCAGCCTGTGAGATCATGAGGTGTCGACGGGATCAGGTAAACAGGCATCAAAGACCCAAAACAAACAAAAAACTGTATTGTTGAGAATGAGATGGGCTGGAGAAGAGACCCAAAACCCATCTGTAGACAATGGGAAATCCCCTCACAGAAGGGTCACAAGGAAGGGATGAGCCAACCAGGGCGCAGTATAGCATTGATGAAATACACAATTCCTCTGGCTCCTTGAGGCTTCCTTACCTCTCACTATCATGACCCCAGTGCTGCCTCTCACGTCAGGCTAGACTGGAGCATGTGCATATGGTACAGATAAGAACTCAGGACACATGGAATCCAGGTCAGAGAAACCCCTCAGAAAGAGAAATGGGAGTAGCGTTACCAGGAGGGTAGGGAGAAGGTGGGAAGAGGAGGGGAAGAAGGGGAAACTGATCATAATGATCGACACATAACCACCACCACCACCACCACCCACAGGGAGACGAACAACAGAAACCGAGGGGGGAGACTGCAGTCGGTATAAGATATAAAAATAATAATAATTTATAATTTATCAAAGGGTCAAAAGGGTGGGAGTGGGGGAGGGAAAAGAAAAAGAGGAACTAATACCAAGGACTCAAATAGAAAGTAATTGTTTGGAAAATAATGCTGGCCGCATATGTATAAATATGCTTGATACGATTGATGAATGGATTGTCATAAGTTCTGTAAGAGCCCCCAATAAAATGATCCTTAAAAAAAATATTATGGGCGATTCTACTCCATCTTACAGGGCTGCTGACTTGCAATCCACTTAACAGTGCACATCACCACCAAAAACTCAAAATTCACTTCCGTCGAGTCAATTCCAACTCACAGCAACCCTATAGGGCAGCATAGAACAGAAACTGTAACTCTACTGAAGGAGGAAGCTTCATCTTTCTCCTGGGGGCAGCTAGTGGTTTTGAACTGCTGCCCTTAAAGTTGACAGACCAACATGTAACCCCCTACCCACCGGGGCTCACCAGCAACAGCACAGACACGTATAGGAATCCTGGCTGATGTAAGCAGTTTGCATTCCACTAGTAACCTAAAGATTAGTAGTTTAAACTTACCTGAGATGCCTGGCAATCTGCTCCTATGAAGCTTAAAGTCCAGAAAACCTCATGGGGCTGTTCTATGCACTGTCAGGATTAGAATTAACTTGACGGCACTGGGTTATGTTTTGTATAGGTGTATGAGTCCCAGGGTGGTGCAAACAGCTGGCCCACTTCTGAAGACATCTCTCTGGAGCACAGTCCTCTTCTGAAATGCACAGGGTCTCCACCAGTCGGAACTGAACTTGACGGAGGCCTCGAGAGGGGAGTAAACGGATGAAGGGATGGATGCAATCCAAGGGGCCAGCTTTGTCGCTGAGAAACAGGGCAAGGGTGGAAAAGAATACGTGGTGGAAAGGAGACATTTTGCTTCACACACATCTGTGTTGCTTGCATGTGTGGAGTAAAAGCAGGCGAGTAGTCCTTACAGTGGGGAGAGCCACACCTCTCCAGAAAGAGAAGCCGAGAAGAGACAGAATCAAGGACGAGCCGTGTGCTGATAAGTGGAATGCTGTGTCGGTGGATGGATAGCTCAAATCATGTCTCAGAGTCTATGTCCTGTTCATTTCTTCAGTATCCCAAGGGGGAGCGGTGGGAGAATCAGGGGAAGCTGCTAACGGGGCACTGCATGTGTGCTAAGGGTGAGGGAAAGCCTGGACCTGGTTAGGAATAATGGCTGTACCATCGTGATGAGTGTAATTAATGTCACTAAGTTATACGTGTAAAAATGGCTAAAACAACAAATCATTTATTACACATATTTCACCACGATATCCCCCCTCCCCCGCCCAGCTACCAGCTCTAGAAAGGATCACATGGGTACAGCCCTGTTGGGAATGGGAGAAAAATGCCGATCAAAACGCAGAATCATCAACGAGACCAGACCTACTGGCCCTGGGACTGAACTCATCCCCGGGGTAGAGGTCATATTCAAAAGGGCAGTGTCTACTCCATGAGAAAGCTCCATGACAAGGTTCCAAGGGCCAGGAAAGGAGGGGGGGGGAGGGGAAATGCTGGGAGAGAGTAGGCTGCGTGACGGGGCACTGAGGGGATGGCCAGGGATGAGGTGGAAGGCACTGTGTGTACCAACTGCTGAATGGAAAACTGATGCCTTACTCTGTAAACTGTCCCTAACTCATAAGATGTAGTCTTACTGGACTGTCACTAAGAAACTAAAATTAATAAATTAGCTATGACTTCCACAATCCAATGAAAAACAAATATGCTGGAGCTCGGCATAGCTTTAACATATATATATATATACCATTTATTGAAATATAAAGATCTTCATTTACAGGTTTTGGGGGCTTTTGTAATACATCTTGTACCAGTGGACCCTCCCAATCCAATTAGTCATTTGCACACATTCACCACAACATTGTTTTGGGGAAACACTTAAGTATTTTTCTCTTTCTTATTTCTAAAATAGAACTTTCGGACATTCAAAAGTGCAACAGTTAATGTGCCTGTGGGGAATATCACAGTCAAAAAATATATATAAACAAAGGCAGTGAAACAGCTTGTCATAAATGTTTTGGCAGTATTCTCCAAGTCTCTATAGAAATTCATATATACATATTGATGTATAACATCATGTTATCGCACATCCCTCTGCACACAAAAACAGGACCATTTTGTACAGGCTGGCAGACCACATTTTTGAGGACATCGTGGAGCATTAAAAACTAAGAAACTCTCCATGCAGTGTTTCTTTCTTGGGCTAGCTTTGATTGTCATCTTAGAAACAGAAAACAGAAGGATTGGCAAATTTCCTTCTGGGGAATTTTCAGGGGGGTCTCCCACTCTACCCCACCAAAAAAAAGGCAGGGCAGGTCGGGGGGAGAGTGAGGGGCAAATCTGTGATACACTGGAAACACTGGACAAACACGGGGTCCCCACATCCGTTGGGTGGGAGCGTTTGTCAGGACTGGACGCGGCTGGTCTGAGAGTTTGCCTCCAGCCTCTGGCCGTCAGACAAGGCACCCCAAGGCACAGGAAAATGCACAGCACCAGGAAGGAAGGGGAAACCCAAACGCTTGAACTGACGGTCCAGAAATACAGGCATCTTTCAAGTCTAATCGGCTCTCCAAAGTGTGGTCTGGTTTTCCTTCACTGGCCCATTGGGTTCAGCTTTCACATTTACTGTACGGGTGGGGGTGGGGAGGGAAGGTGGATCTGAAAGCCGGGGCTTGCATTAAGATTACACCAGTAGGTAGTCAAATACCTTGTCATTGCTTCTACAGCTTCCAAAGCTTCCCCTGCCAGGAGCACACATAGTGACTGCAGCCTTCCCAGCCCACAGTTCATGTCCATGGCGTCAGCCATGAAGCAGGGCCACAGAGCAGCCCAGGGAGGCCGCACCAACCAGGAGGTCAAGAATTTAGCTTGATTTGACAATTCATCCTTCCATTTCACTTTAAGGGGGGTGGGGAATCAGTCAATTATCTGCATTCCTCCACCCCCCACCCCCCCTACCGAAATATCGACCCGGTTCAACAGAAATTTGACGCGCTGAATGGCACCGTTTTCAAACAGGCTTTCCCTGGATTTTTTTTTTTTTTTTTTTTTTAGCCTCAAACTCAGTACCCTCAAGGAACTGGTAGCTTTACCTTGGGAAGACCAGGCCACGGCCAGGATGTCTGCTTTCTCAGCCTCAGACTAAATTAAGGGCCCCACTCCCTGGGGACGTGGCATTAAATGCAACAGACCCACAGCTGAGGGCTGAAGGGCTCGGCGCCCTGAGTGGTTGACTTCTAGGTCAGTTCCAGGTGCGAGCTGTTTGGTGTGCTTGCTCTCTTACCTCCCCCACATGGCAACCCTCGGTAACCTAAGCGGGCCGCGACCCAAAGGTGGCTGACCAGAACTTGTTTATGAAACAGCAGGTTCTTGCCCTGAGGGCACAGTGGGCTAACCGCAAGGTCAACGATGGGAAACCAGCACCACTCTGCAGGAGAGAGATGAGGCTGTCTACTCCTGGAAAGAGTTACAGACTCGGAAACCCTCAGGGGCAGCTCAACCTTGCCTTTGACCTTAAAGGTCACTGTGGGTCAGAATCGGCCTGATGGCAGTGAGCTCCCTCCAGACCCAACACACCTGAAGCTCTGAAACAGGGATCGAGTGACCCAGGCTACCAGTCACGACACAACGCCTTTCTGCCTCAGAGGTCCAGCCTGCTTCTCCTTGAGGTAAGAACTGTGGGAACGAGGCGGATGGCGGTAGTACCCTCCTGATTCTCATAGGTTTTGTAGAAGGGAAGCCGTGAACGCTGGGCTCCATCACTGTTCACACCACGCAGCCATCAAAGGCTCGGCAGACCCAGGGTTTCGGCTGATGGTGCTGTCTGTCATTGGGAAGAGACGGAAAGTCTCTGGCCTTCACTGAAAGCACTCGGGGTGTTCTTGTGCTGGTTGTGCTCTGCGGTTAATGACCTTGGAGTCCAGTTGACCAGGGAACCTATTAGTACCCCAAAATGGACTTCCAGGAAGACTCGACTTGCGCTTTGTTCTCCAGGCTCAACTACATTTAATCCACTAACGCTATTACCATATCATATAGAGAAACACAGGTTATTTAATATACAAACCCCAAATGCAGCAAACTTGTCACCTACTTGGTAAGTAAGGATTTTTTTTTCAATTGTGCTTTTCAGGAGGGGAAACATGTTACAGGTTACACATTGAGCAGTACTGATAGCAGTCGTTACTATTACAAACCTAGATTACAATAAGAAAATGAGTTGTTGGGCTTTTAAAGGACCCAAATCGATTAAAGAAGGCTGGTTAATGATGATCCTTTCTCTCTTTAACACTAAAAATTTTCAAAGGAAAATGCTACAGTCGCAGTACCTTTTGGGTTCAAAAAGTGGTTTTGTGTGTATTTCACAGGAGAATTCAACAGCAGCGACACCGAGTTTCCAGCGAGAAGTACATGAAGGGCTGGCGCCGTCTCTTCAGAAACCCAGGGAAGACCGTTAATAAACATCTAAGCATGTCCTTGGTTAAGAGTTATTTACATAATTACAATGCTGGAGCCTCGTTGCTGTGGAAGTTGTGTACATGGGAATCTCTCCAATGCCCTTGAGACACAAAGATTGTCTACTGTGGCCTCTCTCTCCCCTTGTCCATCCATCTCCCTCCAGATGGCACGCACTGCTGCGAGGCTACTGAGATGCACGAGGGAGACATTCGCTTCCAGCTGTCCCGTCCAGCCAGTGTCAGAAGGCTCCCCAAGGCCCTTGGCCGGGAAGTGCTCCTCATGCATCATCCAAGTCCTCCTCTCAACCTCCGCATTGCAAGAAAGTGGTTTTTCTTGACGGGATCCCAAGGTGGCACCTGGCCAGAAAGATGCCCCCGGAAGCCAGCGGTTACAGGAAGCTGTCCTCCACCAGGTCTGAGGGGTCGATGCCGATGTCGTCCATCATGTCAATGTCCTCAATGGTCTCGTCCTCTCGCTTGATGAAGGTGGAGCTGCTGGACCCTGTGTCGATGGCACTCTCTTCGGACGTCTGTGAGCTGGAGGAGAGATGGGATGGGAAAGGTGAACTAACTCTCCTCTCCGTGCAGCCACAGACAACCAGCCAAGGCTGGGGCTACACGGGGAGGTGCCCCTCCCAGGGAAAGCCCTTCCTACAAGAGCCATCGGTGTGCAGACTCAGGGTTTCCAAGTTTGCCACCAGGCCAGAGAGCTACGGGTCGTCCACCACACTCTAGCCGGTCCACAGGTCTCATTGTCATCGAGCCGATTCTGACTCATGGTGACCCTACAGGATAGGGTCGAACTGGCCCTGTGGGTTACTGAGACTGTAACTTCGTGGGAGCAGAAAGCCTCGTCTTTTCCCCAAAGAAGCTGTTGGTGGTTTTGAACTGCTGACCTTGTGGCTAACAGCCCAACACACAGCCAGTAAACTACCGGGACTCCTTTGGGTCACAGGTAGTCTTGAAATTTGCTCTAACCCATCAGTTTTCCTTCCTCTTGCTAACTTTTTAACCCAGGTTGCTAACACACCGCACCAAGTTCTGCTTTGCCTACTCGCTCCAAGGGAAAGAGGAGATAAGCAAAGGATGGGTGGTTCAAAGGAATGGGGGAGGGAGGAAAAGCAAACGGAGTAGAGCGGCTGCTAACAGCAGCCAGGCCAGTGGCTGGCTCCTGCTGAGACCTCCCATGTGTGCACGCTGGATCTTAGAGCTCCATCCTCCTCCAGGCCTGTCTGCTCCCATGCGTGTCTACACCCGTGCCTCCTGGGTCTCTAAGGTTCAGGGGACGGCTCTTAACAGGGTAATGGTTAAGAGGGGGTACTCTAGAGTCAAATGAGTGAGACCCTCCCACTTAATGATGTCACTTAAGTTACCACCCCTCCCTCAGCCTGTTGCCTTGCTCGTCCAATGGAAAGGCCAAAGCAGCGAATGCACAGGACTGTTCAGGGCGTCAATAGGGCAATGCCAATACAGCACTGGGCACCCTAACCAAGCAGCTGCCTCGGGGCCACTCTGACTCACGGTGGCCTCATGTATGTCACGGCAGACCGGCCTGGGCTCCAGAGAGTTTTCACTGGTTGATTTTTCCCCCCCAGAAACAGATTGCCAGGCCTTTCCTCCAAGGCACCTGGGACACACCTGAACTCCCGGATTGGGGTTAGCAGCTGAGCCCGTGCATTGTTTGCATCCCCGGAGAACTTCCTAACAAGTTGATGGTCCAATCAAGGGAGCGCTATCGATGGAGAGCCCCACGGACACCCAAAAGAACAAACACGTCTGTCTTGGACGAAGCACGGCCAGAGTGCTCCTTAGAGGCAGGGGGGCTCCAGCTTCACACACTTTGGACATGCTGTCAGGAGAGAGCAGTCCCTGGAGAAGGACGTCATGCTTAGCAGAGTGGAAGGGCAGTGAGAAAAGAGAAAAATCCGTGGCAGGATGGAGTGACACTGTGGCTGCAACGGTGGGCTCAAAAAGAGAACCGTGGTCAGGTGCGGGCAGTGTTTGGTTCTGGGGAGCACAGGGTGGAGAGGAGTCAGAAGTGTCTTGCAGGCACCTAACAACAACCTATCTGTTACACTCAAATTCTTCCCTGAATTCCAGTGGGTTCTGGGGAACGCTAGTTATTCCTTTTCTAACAGGCGATCATACTGTCCGGATCATACTCCGAGGAAATGCTTGCTCGAGGAGTGCGGGTCACATGACCTGCCTTGGTATTTGTGACTTCATTCCAAATGGTTCGTGAAAAAAAAGAGGGAAGCGTTATGTGTATGTGTGATAGATAGAGCACACAGGGCACACATCCAGGTAGGAAAAGTAAATGGAGCAACATGTTAACAGCAATTACATCCTGGTGGTAGACGGCTACATGGGTTTATTATTCTCTCGTGTTTTCTGTAGAATTTTTCAAAAACACATAGTTGGGGAAAATATCCTCCCCTCAAATCTCCAGCCTGGCACAGTTTCCCCTCTCTCCTCCCTTCTCTGGATTAATTAATCATCATTAGATCACCAGCCTGTCTCCGATTCCCATCTAAACCTCGGTGGGTATCTTTCCATGCCAAGCTGATTCTCATTGGCAGGCAGCACATTAACAGTGCATACTGGCCGGTCAGAAGAATGAGGCACACAAATGTGCAGGTACACACGCACGTGCACATGTGCGCACCACGCCAGGGCTCTGTCCAATCTCTCAGCTCCTTCCTGCTTGTCAAGCCTAGCCTGCCCTCTCTCAACTCCTCATGTCAATTCCAGGGCAGAAAACAACACACCGCAAAAAAGCAACAAGTGGTCGCTGGAGCGATGGCGACTCGTAGCGGCAACCCCTTGTGTGTTTCCCAGTACCAATGCGTCAACCACCCCCCTCCCTCCCTGCGATGACCGTGCACTTTTCCAGAGTAGAAAGACACCTCTGGGTGGACATGGCTCCCCAACTTCTCTTTAGTAACCGGGCCCTTCACCATTCAGGGAGCTCAGCAGAGAAGCCAGTCTGGTCTCTCAAAGTCCGCTTTGTGCCCCGTCCACCCTGGAGAATGTCTAGGAGCCAGGGAGCTGCCCAGCCATGGGGTCCCTTCACAGCCCTATGACTGAGCTTCTGACTGGATCCTAGGGTGTATCCTACCTGTCGAACCCCTCCCTGCCTGACTCCTGGGACCGCTATAGGATGGGGCATGTTGGAATCACTGAAAGCGGCAGCCTGGTATCAATGAGGCTGCTCCTTGGGGGCGTCTGGGGACAGGGGATTAAGAAGCACCTTTGGAAGCCGGGGC